TACCCTGAATGTATCCCCTACACTGGCAAACAACCTCCACACCCTGCTGTGCTGCTGGAGATACCCTGCTGCCCCCTTCTTTGCACTTGCTTGCAGAACAGAAGCTGTGCACTGGGGGGAGAGAACTGTGTGATCTCAAGCAAGTCATTTACCCTCTCTGTGCCTCTGTGAAAGGAGGAATAATAGCACTGCCCTACCTCAAGGGTTTGGGAGGATAAAGTTTGGGAGGCACTTAGACACTACATTAAGGGGAGCTAAAGAAGTACCTGAGGTAGATCTGCACCATTGTCATGGACGGGGAGAGTGCATCCCACCCTCACCCCAAGCACTCTGAGCAACTCTGAGAGTTTGTGCTCTCATTCTCATCTACTTCTCCACATCGCCCCCTGCCTGAGGCTGTGTAGACCAGACTCCCTATCAGTATTTATAGTTACATGTTCTGTGCCTTGTATGTGTGTATAGTACTGCACCAGCTTTTACAGTTGACTTCTCAGTAGTAATGTGAAACCAAAACTGCGGATAGGCTGTACCTGGAATGGGTGACCAAATGTCCCAATTTTATGGGGACAGTCCTGCTATTTGGGGCTTTGTCTTATATAGGCACGTACTGGCCCGCATCCCTTCTGTCTGCTCACCCTAACCTGGAATGAGTGGTGCAACTGAATTTTTTTTGTTTCAGAAATAAAACAGCCTTGCTGTTAGGAAAACCAGCTGTTAAAGTCTATCTAGTCCGTGGGCCCAACATCTGCAAGAGAACTCTACGACCAATCAGGCACCAAAATAAGCTGCTGGATTTTTCAGAAGAGCTTATGATCTGACACATTGGTGGCAAATAACCTAGGAAAAAATCCACCAGCACTGAACAGTTTGCCTTCATTAATCAAGTCAAAGTTCATACCACTTTGTCATGTGCTATATGTTGATACTCCCTGCTCTGAAGCTGTCACCAGCACCATGTTCTCTCCCCCTTTAAAAGGGGAAAAAAGGTGAACTCCAAACCAACAAGTGCATTCAGGCCCTACACCATCCTATTCCATTTCACAGTTCAGCTGAAATAGCATGTGCAGGACTAAAAAGGTAACAAAACCCAACAGACAGGGCTTGATTTAACTAAGTGCTGACAAAGCAAAAGATGACTGATGCGTTAATGCTCCCACAATCCCTGCTTCCTTTAAGAGTTGCCTAAAATAAGACCATTAGCCCAGGACTCAGGTTTTATCGAAGCTATGGAGAGCCTGTTAACACTGAACACTGGTGCAACTGCTTCTGCAATCACTTTACTTCCCCGATTGGAAATGGAGAAGTGCATGTTTCTGATTACATGGCAGTCCACACACACTGTGATATACAGTCAAGCCCCCAAACTCCCCCTCCTCCAATCCAGCAGTATATGCATTCCATGTAGACGCCCAAGCTGACGCTTCTGGGACCAGGTTGATTTGAGCAAACCAACTGACCATTAACATAGGGCCTAATCCTGCGAGCAGCTAAGCGTGTAACTGTGCTCATGTGAGTATTGCCATTGGCTTCAGTGGAACCACTCGTGAGCAAAATTAAGCACTTATTTAAAAGTTAGCAGGAAAGAGGACTTAAGTTCATTCTTTTTTTTTAAGATCATCCTCTATGTAGTCTCTGTATTTTACTTCCTTAAACATGTGACCGTATTATGGTCCTCAGTGAAAGAAGGGACATTCATTAGATAGGATCTTACTCGTTTTATCAATTCTAATGTCTGCATTAAGATAGCAATACTCACATTTTAATATCTAAATCACCTCGCACTTACTGTCAGCAAATAAGAGACCCAGCAACAAGCAAAGGAATGCAAATGACAAAACCTAAGATACTGTGTGTGTTGAAATAAACCTTCATGTTCAAGTCTTTAAAATTTCTGAGGTTATTTAGGTGCCAGCTGACGAGCATAAGAGTGGAGTGGGGGAGTGGAAATAGCACACATTTTTAAGCAGTAGATAAGTTATTTTTCTTTTTAAATAAGACTTCACTCTTAAAGCAATCATAATGACCCAGTTGTGGCTCTCTTTGTATCCGGGTAATGAAGAACCATAGTGTTAAGTTCCCATAGTTGTTGCCTCAAGCTCTTCAGTCATTACGTGATAAATAAAAACTTCAAATGGGCTTCTTTTTGCTTAATTGGGCTGACTTTCTCTCCAGGAGGAATAGCTAATATACAGAGATTACTGTGTCCATGGCAACAATGGAAGTTGTCAATAGAAGTAGTTGGACGAACATACACTGTGGATGCAAATCACTGACTCAAAAGCAGAGGATTTCTGGCTTTCTTCCATCCAAAAGTGTCTCTTCCAACTGCAGGCAAAGCTAAAAAGAGTGAAATAGAGAACTCTGGATGAAATTCTGAAATCCTTGGCAGCAAGAGGGATGTTACCTGAGTAAAGATTGTAGCATCTTATCAGCTTAAGCACAATGACTGACTATAATGGAGCCGAACTCATGAATCTTCATGAAGCAAAAAATAACACTCTGGAAGCTCAGTCAGAAACTAACTTACAATAACTGACCTATAGAATGTTCTAAATGTGCTTTATAGTGTCATTAATCAGACAAATCTAACCACTCTGAAGCCTGTGCTCAGCGGGGTTTTATGGCTAATGCCAGTTTACAGTAACATTCATATTTGTTAAGAATTCCCTTTCCAGACCAGTAGGTTCCGAGACAAAGCTGCAGTAGCACTGTGGACTGATGGGAGGCTAACAAACCGAGAAGTGGATTTTTGGCTTCCAAACAGGGGTTGCAGCTGCTGAGCATATCCAGTAAGTCGGTGGTTCTCAAACTGTGGGTCGGGACCCCAAAGTGGGTCACAACCCTGTTTTAATGGGGTCACCAAAGCTGGTGTTAGACTTGCTGGGTCTTGGGGCCCAAGCCAAACTGCCCAAGGGCTGGGGCTCTGGTTACAGGCCCCCCGCCTGGGGCTGAAGCCCTTGGGCTCTGGCTTTGACCCCATCGCGTGGAACAGTGAGGCTCAGGCTAGGTGGCTGGGCTCAGGCTTTGGCCCCTTTCCCCTGGGGTAGCAGGGCTTGGGCGGGCTCAGGCTTCAGTCCCCCCTCCTGGGGACATATAGTAACTTTTGTTAGCAGAAGTGGGTCACGGTGCAATGAAGTTTGAGAGCCCCTGCTAAGTTTTGTGTGTGTGGCAATGCTGAAGAAAAGTGGCATTTGAACATATTGGCTGGATCCTTCTCTCAATGAAGCCAATGGCAAAACTTCTAGTAGGGTCAGATTTTCCTCTCACTGGAGTTACTCTGGATTCGCACTAGTTGTAAATGAGAAGAATCAGGCCCATATTGTGAATTAAGGAAAGAAAATGAGCCTTTTTCTAAATACACTCTGGGTATTTAAGCCCTGATCCAAAGCTCAATGAAGTCAAAAGGAGTCTGTCCACTGACTCTTCACTGAGCTTTGGAGCAGGCCCTTAAACACTGAGGGGTTCCACTTTTTGTGTCTGTATCCATGTGAGACTCTTTGGAAAATGGTAGTTGTGACAGGGTCAGGCCAGATGGCTACAGGAGAGTGATAGAGGGCAGATATATTAGCCCCAGGTTAAGTAGGTCCCTTTTCCCTGTGTAAGGTAACAGGAAAGGTTCCAGAACAATCAGGAATTTTCTGGAAACAATTAAGGCAGACAGGCTGATTAGAACACTTGCAGCCAATCAAAAAGCTGCTAGAATCAATTAAGGCAGGCTAATCAGGGCACCTGGGTTTTAAAAAGGAGCTCACTTCAGTTTGTGGTGTGTGCGAGGAGCTGGGAGCAAGAGGCACAAGAAGCTGAGAGTGAGAAGGTGCACTACTGGAAGTCTGAGAAGTACAAGCATTATCAGACCTCAGGAGGAAGGTCCTGTGGTGAGAATAAAGAAGGTGTTGGGAGGAGGCCATGGGGAAGTAGCCCAGGGAGTTGTAGCTGTCACACAGCTGTTACAGGAGCCACTGTAGACAGTTGCAATCCACAGGGCCCTGGGCTGGAACCTGGAGTAGAGGGCGGGCCCGGGTTCCTCCATCCCCCCAACTCCCTGCTTGATCCCGGAGAAGTTGAATTGGACCGTGGGTTCCACCAGAGGGGAAGGTCTCTGACCTGTTCCACGATTCACTAGGTGGATCAGCAGAGACTGCGGGGGTTGTTCTTCTTCCTTTCCCCATGCTGGCCACTGATGAGGCTAACTGAGTGAACGGCAGATCTGAGCCACGAAAGTGGCCAAACTGAGGGCTGCTGTGAACTTCTGAGGCGAGAAAATCCGCCAATAACTGCAGGACCCCCCTAGGCAGAGGAGGAGCTTTGTCTCACAGTTTATTTCAAGATCTTAGTGATTTCAGCCAACAGGCCAGCAAATATATTTACATAAGCGGGCATAATGCTGCACATAGTTCAAAGTAAACAAGAACCCAGAAATGTTGTTGTTCTCTTAAGGTACAATGTTTGCTTAATGCAGGACTTGGATTTTTTTTTTCCTTTTCAGTGACCTCCATTGCAATGCAGTGTGGTATCAATAGTAGGAAACCTCATGCCAGCAGCATCTCTGAAATATGCTAAAACACTCTCAATTAGAAAATGTCAGTTTCTTGGCTGATGGGTGGGTTGTCTTTTTTTTGTTGTTGTTGTTGGGTTTTTTCCTTTCTTGTGCCTCTATAATTTTATTGGGATGACTAAACTCTGAACTATGTTAACAGTAAACAGAACTAATTTACCCCCTGCTTCCTTGAAACAGCTGCTGACAGCTGCACTATAATTCAATCATGGATCTTTGCAATGCAGCCTGCAAAATATATTCATATTTTTTCTTCCCTCTACTGTATTTATACTTAGGCAGCTGCAGCAGATATTGACCATGTGCCCATGATGCCAGTGTACAGAAACTGGTGGACATGGGAGCACTGCTGCAGAATAGCTGACACTCACCATGAAATATTATTCACAACAAAAGACCCTTTAGATAGAGTGGAAATAACCACACATACACACAGTTGTTGGACTCTTTTTGTAAAGTCACAATGATTTATTCAACTAGTTTGTACAAAATGCTTCTAACAACTGCTCTATGAAAAGAACCAGAAATGTGTACATATATTTTGCGAACTGTTAATAAATATTTTCTTAAATAAGGAAACAAATGTGTTTAGAAGAGATGAGAATCATTTTCCTGAATGCGTGATTGAAAAGGAATTCAGAGATGGAAATAAATAATTTTTTTCCCACTTTTGTGACAATTATTTACATAAAATGTACAAAACAATGGAGTTGATGTATAGCCTAGCAACAGAGATCCTGCAGTCATGTTTAAAAAAAAAAAAAAAAACGCACAGGATATATAATATACGGATCCAGTACAGAGAGAGGGTGGTCAGGACTGAACTGCAATATACCAGTACTCTTGGGCACTCATGACAAACTCAACCTTGACTACACTAAAAAATAATCAGCTCGGACCATCCACTGTTAACTTCATTGGTAGCACCTTAACTCCCTGTACAAGCTTCAGACACCTAGAATATGTTGCATTGGTGGCTTATACACATAGAACATTGAGTGGCATTTATGATTTGTATGACTTTATGCATCTCTCCTTTAAAACAATGGACACACGGAGGCAGTCGCAGGGCAACCATTTCTCTTTGACAGTTCATCTAAGGACTTCTCAGAAAAGGCTGAGGATATTTCAGTCACCATTTTGGAGCTTGACCTACTAAATATTGGGCCAGATCCAGATTTCAGTTAAAATCTGGTGTAACAAAGGTTAGAGCCAAGTCAGACCTACAGACTCGTAATTCCCATTGTAGATATGTGGTGCATTTGGTAATGCTGACTGGTGTTCAAGAGCCTGATCCAAGGCCCATGGGACTCCTCCTGTTCCTCAACAGCCTAATCCTGCTGCTATTGGAAATCCAGTGGTAAAACTCAGATCTACTACAATGGAATTAGACTTGGGCCCAAAGAAACAAACTCCAACTCATTTTCATATAGAGCTTTTTTGTTTTTGTTCTCTCCCCCCACTTTTTAAAGGAGGAAAGCATCCGGTCTGGATTTCAACTGTGGCTTAAGAGTAGTTACTTATTCATGGAGCCAAGCAGTTTTCTTACTACAGATGAAACTGACAGTAAGATAGGAGTCACCCAGAAAATACAGACCCACGGAACCAGGATTACAAATGTCATGGTTCCTTTTCCATATTAAGGACCTGATCCTGCACAGTGCTGGGTGTTCGTTCAGCACCATCCATTTGCTTTCATCTCCTCACAGGATCAAGCCTACAGACTTGTAAAATTCCAGGGGCCTGATCTGCACCCATTGAAATCAATGGATATTTTTCCTATAGGAGCAGGATTTTGAGCTTGCCTTTCATAACCTTGGTTAGTCTCTAAGGTGCCACAAGTACTCCTTTTCTTTTTGCGAATACAGACTAACACGGCTGTTCCTCTGAAACCTTTCATAACCTTGTAAGTGTTTGAGATGTCCAAGTTGAGAGTTGGGTTACAAAACTGTTTGGGCTTTATTCATTATTATTTTATTATTATTTAAATTTTGCTCTTAGGTGTTTTAGTACATAGTAAATTTAAATTCTTGTTGGTAGCTGAAATAGATATTCTCCCTGACATAGAAAATATATATCAAGATAACCTTGTTCTTTGGAGTTATTTTCTTCAATTCTTTCAATTCCAAAAGAGATTTCTAGACTTATTTGTCCTTTTTAATTTGAGTCTATCCAGATATTTTTTGCTAGTGCAAAATTTAATACTGGAAGTTCATACTTAGTCTTTTTCTCCTGATTATGAAGTTGGATAAACCCAGGGTTGGAGGTAATTATTTAACAAAATATATCTTTCTTTCTAGGAACATTTTATTGTGAACAAGTTATTACAGGAACAACAAATGTTTATTATGTTGTGCATAAACACACCAGATTCTCACTCTGGATGGATTTGTTTAAAAAAGATGTTCACAATCAACACTGGTGAGTTAGCCATCTTCTGAAAGGCTCATTTGCAGAAGTAAGAGCAATTATTTTGGATGGGCTTGATTTTTAAATGGTTCCTCTGGCTTGTTTCACTTAGCACCAGTTTGCAGACTCACGTCTATCATAAGCTAATACAAACTTTACTCAAATACCACTTGGAATCCAGAATTTGTTCCACTATCTCCTGTTGATTCTGCACCTTCAGAAGCATGGTCCCTACAAACTGATTAGTTGTTTTTGTATTTATTTATTTTAAGGAAGTCCAATACAGGAGACGTGCATCTCTTTGCAATTCATATAAAAATGCTCTTAACAGCCACTTTTTTTCCCTTCCTCTAAACCTAATGGCAGCCACATGCCCGTACCACCATGTTCCTGTATTTTTTCAAGATAACATTGGAGCTGTCATCAAAATAGAGCACTGAGATGGCATTGAGTTGTGTAGGAGCGCAGCATGGCTTCGGCACAGTCTCTGGGTTTATAAAGTGAACCTGCGGAGGGGAAAGGAAACAATGTTAAGATTTTTCTCCCCTTTCCCCCCCTTTTTGGGCAAACCTTCCAACTTGCATGTATGCCTTTGACACATTGATTTGTGTACACAAATACCTCAAGGTACACACACAAAAGGTGAGATTCACAGGCACACTTGGGCATACCTAAAATGCAAGATCTGTCTCTTCTTGGTTTTCTTTCCTTGCAAGGGTAGAGCTGATGAAGTCTAGTCAGCTGACAGGCCTAGACACTGAAGTCCTTTCTATGTCCAGTGAATAGTCAGGCACTGGATACAGGAAGGACTTTAGTGTATGCTTCTTCCGTATTACTGCAACCCTGTGCTGAAGAGGATAAACGTTAGTGGTAAGGGAGGGGGGCAGAAGAGCCTATCACCAATACATTTGGGAAAACTGATTCATTTTAAAATAGCTCTGACCCCAAACTTGAATCAAGCTCAGCCTTTTGTAGGGCCTTGAAGATGAGTTTCAACTAGAACTGGATGGGGGGAAGGGGAAGTGATGGGGACTCTGCACATTTTTAACTTTTCTGAATGGTTCCCCCCCCCCCCCCCAATAAAATTAAAAAAAAAAAAAAAAAAAGGCAGCTCTAGTTTCAATGGCATTTCCAGCCAGTTAGATTCCTGCAGTAGCGTGTAGCTATGCAGCTAAGGATGAGTGATGAAGGTCGCACTTGTTACAAACAGGTGGAAGTTCTCTAGGGTTGTGATGCTTGATGGCACTGTTTACTTGCCAGTTTAAATCTGGAAGAATTAAGATCCTGCAGCTATTCCTCTTCATCTCCTCTTGGGACCTAGTCCAAAGCCCACTGCAGCCAATGAAAAAGACTCCCATTGGCTTCAATGGGCTTTAGAGTAGGTCCTTCATGCACTTGGTCTTTTCCTAAAAAACGAACCCACTAACCGGGCTATACTTGGGGATCAAGGAATCCTCCATCCCACTCTACTCTCCATCCATATGGGAAAGGAAGCAGAAGTAGGGCTGATCTGTACGGTTATGGTTCTAGAGGCCCTTCCCTCATCCACTCCCTGCAGTTGCATGCAATAGATCTCCAGGGAATTTTGTGCAAAGGAGGCTGACCCTCCCCTCCCCTACTTGGGGCCCTCCATTCCTACCCTTCCCCTCTGGAGCAGTGGGACTGTGCCATTTGTGTTTACATCTAGGGCCCCTCTACACTTATGGAGCATGTTAATGCTTGCAACAAAGAGATTACTTCCAGGCCAACTATTAATTCAGGCCATTCCGCTAGACCTGTTTAGCCAGATGCTGAAGGCATTATGAGCTAACACAGACCTTCCTTCTCTAGCTAGTTCTGAGGCGTTTGCTTGCATGAAATTATTCCAGTGAAGTATTGATCATAGTTAACAGCCTTCATTATTCAACTTAAATTGCACCTACCAGTGTTTGTACAATAGCATGGTTTGTAGCATTCATGTAGGAGTTCAATGGGAAGGCACATTCTCCTTCACAGTAATATGCTGCATAGCCTTCTGGAGCAATTATCCAGTCCTGGATTAAATTGATGTTAGATCATGGAGAAAAGATGGATTTAATTTCATTGTACATTATTCAATCAATTCAAGTACATGCACGCAGTCAAACAATCATGAAAAATGTCTCCACTTAAACTAGCTGCTCTAACAACATGATCAACGGCAGCACCTGTTTGTAAAGTGCAATGGAATCCTTCAGGATAAAGTGAATACTTTATATATAGCAGAAGGATCACTTCATCCACTATTGGAATGCAGCTACCTCCAGTGCACAAAGTAGGAGCTGGTTACCAGTGTCTAAAGGAATTCTCCAGTAGAAAGTGAAGAACACTGTGTCCAGCTGAAACTACAGAAAGAGTTTATAGGGCCAGAAAGTAGTGCTCTGAATTTAAAATTAGCCATAAAGCTGTGGGCTTTATTAAATTTTCAGCCACTCTTAAATTGCCCTCCAATTTGCATGTTCCCTTTTGTGCATGCAATCAGTTGTGCCAACATACAGGCAAACACCCCTTTTGTGTGTGCAAAGGGCAATGAATTGACATGTTTGAATACGCACCCATTTTTATAAGCACAGACATCTACACACAAAATCAGAGGCTAAAAATGTGGTTCATGAGTGAAAGCTACTAGCCAAATGACAAATGATTGAAAAGGCAACATGTCTCCCGAGCCTGAGCACAGAAACCTTACCTGCCAGCCAAGATCTCTGAAACTGACATAAAGTTCATGTTTCTTGCAGGCTTGCCGCTGATCACTGCTGCTGTTTTCTGAGTTGGGAGGTGTAGGGGTGAAAAAAATTAAAACCATCAAGTGAGATTGTGTTGTCCAACTGGATGTTTCAGTGCAATTTTCAAATGAAAGCAGGGCCCATTAAGACTAATCCCTCAAAGTCTGAAGTTCCCCAGCACTGACATCTTTGGCGGCATTGCGATGGGGAATGTGGTGTGGCTCCCCTTCTGCAGCCATGCACTACTTTACAGCACTTGTCACTTTCATTTAGCTGTTTCAGTCTCTTGTATTTTAATAGTAAAATAATGGCTGGATTCAATAAATATAAAATGCCCATCTGGTTTCTACGCAAAGCCAAGAAAGCCCTGAGAATTTTTTTTCAGGGCTTTTTCTCTCCTGTGTGGGCTCCTAGTTTGCAAAACAAAAATCTATTTTCATCATGCAAGAGAACACAGTGACCCAGGAAGTAAGGTGACCAGATGAAATGGACAAAATATCGGGACACATGGGGCAAGCAAAAAAAAAAAAAAAAGGGAAGCCCGAGCTGAGTTGCCAAAGCACCAAAAAAAACCGGCTGGAGTTGCCAAAGCTGCAGTATTGGGACAAATGGCGTCCCAACCGTGCATCGGTCGGGACGTGGGGCAAAGAACTAAAAATCGGGACAGTCCCGATTTTTATCAGAACATCTGGTCACCCTACCAGGAAGGCACTCTCACATATACAGTGATGAACTTGGTATAAGAACCTATAGAGAATAAGAATAGTAAAGTGACTCTAAAGAGTGGCACCCTCTCAACATCCCTGTGTTTCTTTGAGTACTGTCTGCTGCTGACCTGTTAGTCCTGCAAAAGCAATAGAATCACGGGAGAGTGAGCGGGAATCTATTATCCGATGCATCACAAGTTCTGACTGTTGACCCATTGGGCAGGATCCACAAAGGTACTTAGGTACTTCACCCCCAGACTTAGGCAAATAAGTCCCATTTTCAGGTGCCACTGCGATTCTCAAAACTTTTGCTCAGCAGCTGCCTAATGCTGTCGGGGCATAAGCTCACTCTGCACCTAAGCTTTTGCATTAAAAGTTCCCTAGGTGCCTGTGTTTCTGCTTCTGAGCATGCATGCTACGGCTGCCCACTAGGGGTCCAGAACCTGTCTCCTCTCAAGCCCCAAAGGGATTCACAAACCAGGGGGAGATGGGCATTCTTCTACAACTAGCATTTGTGGCCCAGTGTGGTAGGTGTGCTCAGAGGCTGCCAAGATCTACATAAAACAGCCAGGGAAGGAGGGGACCTCTCTGTAGCCCAGTGGTTGAGCACTCACCTGGGAGGCGGGAGACCCCCCACCCCGGTTGATGTTCCCTCTCTGCCTGATGGGGAAAGGATTTAAACAGGGATCTGCCATCTCTCAGGTGAGTACTACAACCACTGGGCTATAGAGTGAGATTGACTTTTCATCCTTATTTGTTCCACTTTAATTGACTTTCTCTGGCCAAATTAATATTTAATCTCAATTTTGAAGATCTAAAATTCAGTTCAGGTCAATTGAAACATTATTTCTATTTTGACCATGTTTTATTTATTTTATTTTATTTTTTACTATAACTAGTAAATAGTTTGGGTCAAGAAATTTGTGAAAACTGACCTTTTCCTACACCAAAAAATTTGGTTATGACAAATCAGCATTTTTCCAAGAAACATTTAGTAAAAAATAAAAATAAAAAAGCCAGTGACAGATGATGCTGAATATACAAGAGAAAAAGAGAGCATATTGCTTGAGCACATTAGAGATTGTTTGTTTCATTCTGGTCTCTACAAAACAATACAGATGTATCTAGTACCCAGACAAACTGACTTGGCAGCCTTCGCTGTACCTGCAATGTTGGACACCCGAAAGGCTTCCTGGTTTTTTGGTGTTTTCGATCGATTCTGGCTCCTTTGTTTGCCTCCCGTGGAACGAATAGTGCGGAGATGCACTTCTGTGGCTTTGAAGAATGCTACCGTGAAAGGCTGCTTATTTTGTGGGCCATGTCTTCCAATAAGACCAGCCAGTTTGGGATTGATGCTTTGTCCTTAACAGAAATATCAACAACACAATCAGCCCATAAGAGGAATTGCTATAACTTTCCATTTCCACCAGCAATATTGAAGACAACATGATTGAGACAACTGTCCTATATCCCACATATAAAATTCCCATTGAGGCCCATATGCCTGGATCCATTGATGGAGTGGGCCTAAAATGAATAAGCAAATCCACTTCTGAAAGAAATATCTCAGTACAACTAACTTCATTTTATATTTGAATGTAAAAGTTAAATAAAATGCTCCTACAAATAATTATTTTACCCTACATCAGCTTTGCATTAGATTTTCCTGCATTCTTTAGAGGGGTTTCTTTAAGTTCACCAACCTATAACTTGAAGTGATCCCATAAAAGGAACCATAAACCTCAGCCCATAGGAACACTCAATTCCCACTGGAAGGTTATTAACTTAATATAAAAATGCCTTCTATTAAATGTTGACACAGTTCCAGATATATTGCATTTGAAAGAAACAAATAGTTCAGATATTTAGCAACATTTTATTTATTGCCACATCTGTCACACACAGCAGCAGTACTGAATCAGATAACTTGGTTATAGATACATTGTAATTATTGCTCATTCCTTTTCTGACACAGGATTTTTAAATTAACTTTAGTTATGGTCAAAGGTGCCTGATTGATAGTCCAGGAGACTTAAGTCAACTATTTACAAAGATAAGGCATAGATAGTTGCTGTACAAATTTGCCCCTGGACCCTCCCCACTACCCCAGTGTGTCTCAATTGTGTTGTGAAGGGACCATTGCCCGGAGACCACCTCAGGCTCTATAACCAACCAACCTTAGGACTGGTAGTGATGATGATGGTGTTTAATTCACGCCAGTTTTGATAGTGGATTTTGTGATGTTTGTTAGGAACTGAACTGGGACTTCCCAAGTAAGTCAAAGAACAGCTGATGCTAGTCTCAGCCTGGTCTACATTATTCCTGTCGACATAGCTATTGCCTCTCGGGGAGCTGGAGTAGCTACACCGATAGGAGAAGCTCTCTGTCGGCAGGGGTAGCGTCTTCACTAAGTACAGCAGTGGTGCAGCTGCACCAGTCCAGCTTCACCGCTGTAGCGCTCTAAGTATAGACAAGCCCTCAGTTACAAGCTGAACCACATTGGCACTGGCATTTTGGAAGTGAAAGGATCTGTATTTCCATTAGCAATCCACTGAGCGCTTTGGTCCTCCAGTTCTTACTGGTTTCTAAGTGCAGTATGCAAAAAAATGGCAACAAAACAACCTGGTTCTCTAAGGTGAATTTCCATAACTGCTGTTTTTAAGGCATTTGTTCCGTAACAAGGGAACGGCCCACACCAGTGTCTCAAGAACCACTGTCTCTATTAGATCTTTTTATCCCTTCATGTTTAGCAGCTTTTTGAGTACATAAAAATGTTAAGATGGAAAAGACTTGCTCATGATCACAGCTCAAGGCTAACAATCGCCAATTTACATTTGCTTCTCTCACTCTTAATTTGTTTTAAATAATTCACAACTTAAAAGGACAAATTCTTTCCCTGTGCAAAGCTGGGATTTGCACAGAGGATCATAAAGTGTTTATTACATCAGCATGACTGCTTGGAAACTAAGCATGACCTACATCTCATGGCTACAACCCCTTATGGTTCCCTATGTGGGGAGGAGATAGGATTAGACCTGTAGATATGCTAAATGGGATCAGGCAAACTTATCTCCTAAGGATAGGACACTGGGTCAGGCTTTCCATGAATGAGACTTAAGTCGTATACTGTTCGCCGGTGAAATGTGCTGAGTCATATAAATACCTATTTACATGTGCAAAGGTGTGTGTGTTGGTGGGCATGAGCACTTCCACCTGACTGTATCATTTTCATTCTCCGTTTAGGTCCTGTGAATTTGGCCACATAGTCTTCACTTTACACAGCAAGGCTGATCCCAAAAAACACTTAAGCATGTGTGTAGCTCTAAGTACATGAGTAGTCCTACTGAAGTGCATAAACTACTTGTGGTCTTAAAAGCTACACATGCTTTTCTGGATCAGGGCCTTATTACATTTTCAAGAACAAGTTTTAGCCAAAAATGAGTCAGAATTCATCTAGTACCGCATTGATTTCTGCCCTCTTTCCTTCCCCCACCCCCCATTAGCAGCATGAAACCTTTTCTGATTGCACTACCATTTTAAAAAGGCCACGGTTTTGAGAGAGTAAATTATTTTTAGTTGCATCATCTCACTAACAAGAACCTCAGCAGCTTGCAGTTAGTGACCCTAGATCAGTGGTTCTCAACCTCTGGCCCACAGGCCGCTTGCGACTCTATCAGCACAGAGCTGTGGCCCACGTGACATCCTCAGGGCCATACATATAGTACTGGATGCGGCCCACATAACACATTGTGTGGCCCACAATGGTAAATAGGTTGAAAACCACTGCCCTTGATCCACTCCTAGTTGATTCAATGGGTTTGCATGAAGGTAACGGAGAGCAGAATTTGGCCAATGCATCAATTTAGGGAGAGGCTTGAGTTTTTTGGTGACAGAAAGTTACTTTTGCTGTAGCAAATCTCTCTCTCTCTCTCTCTCTCTCTCAGAATACAACTTTTTTGCTTTATGCCCTATTTTAAAAAAAAAACAAAAACGAAAAATGTTCTGAGTAAGACCCATACCATAGAGCTATTGTGTTCCTCATTCATTAAATTGTGGGGGTGGGGACCCACACTTAAGTGACTAGAACTAAGTATTTCAACTTCCACCTACAACCAGGGACCAAATTTCAAGTAAAAAAATATTTAAGACATCTATTCCTAATTAACCAATTATGTACTTATCTAACACAAAATAGAGCTAAACTCTCCAATCAGAGAATGCAGACTATTTGTGTTTAAGAAGCCGCTTTTTTTTAACTAAGAAAAACAGGATATGAAGCAATAAGTAATAGGCTAAGTAAACCTAAATAGTCAGCTGTTGTTTCTATGTATTATGAGGGCGTGAAGTGTTTCAGAGCTTAGGGTGACAGGATGCCTACGGCTAATGAATCATGTTAGTGTTTCTCTCGCTTGTTGTTTGAGCTTATCCCAACTTTCTAAGCGTAAACAAACATCCTTTAATTCCCCACTAGTTGCTGTTTTTGATGGACTTATCTGGCATGATTGTAAAGGAATATGAAGAGCAGTTAAATGAACTAATCTGTTTTGTATTATTCTATCTGGACAGTACTTTTGACTCTTCCCTTCTATCCTGGTTGCATTTTATTCATGTATAGAGAGACACACACAAAATAACTGGTACAAATTCTAGACAGAACTTGCCAGGTTTTCAGTTTCATTACACACTTTAAACTCAGGCTGTATCCACTGAAAGGTTAGCTACATTCAAAAATCTATAGTTTTGCATCAAAGTCGTGCTATGTTGCAAGTCTACAGACTTGTGACATGACAACCAGGTGAAACTGCAGCTTTGCTAGGAGTGCGCAGTTTGTGTGACCCCCAAATGAAACTTGGGCTTGGTAGGACTTACCCTTCCAGCTCAAAATGGAAGAAAATGTTTCCTTGAATTCTGGAAAATAATTCTGTGCTTTATCAAAATAGATTGAAGAAATATTTCACGAGTTTGTCTTGAAAGTTAAAGACCAAATTCATCCCTGGATAAAAAGTAACTCCAGGACTGAATTTGGCTGCTTGCATTTTAAAAATTAAACCTATAATTGGCACAAATCTTTGCAGTCTCATTTCTCCAATGTGTGTGTGTGTGTGTGTGTTTTAAACCAAAACCAAGCCTATTTATAGGGAGAGATTTTCAAAGGCACAACTGGCATTTAGGTGTCTAACTCTCATTGAAAGTTGATGGGAATTAGGCCCCTAAATTGTCATTCTAGGCCTTTGAAAATTTCTCCCCAAGCTTTTGCTCGGAGACAGGTTTGTATAAGGGCCCAGTTCTAACAGTCTACCTACCTGCTTTTTCTGAGCAATTACCATAAATGCATGCACAATTGTGGTGCTCTTTTGCGTTCAGGATTTTGAAAATCTGGGCAAGATGTCCTAATCATCTGTTCCCTTATTGCAACTGCTATGATCTTATGTTTATTCCATAGACCTAAGAGCATAATATTTATTTATAAAATGCTATGGACATTTCTAGTGTTTAAGGCAATAACTTATTAATGTAAATAATTTAAGTTATACTATAGTCAGACTTATTGCTTACACAGTCACAACTTATGTAAGTCCTATTGCTCCCTTGTATGCTCATTCTGCCAAGGTTTCACTACTTCCTATAGCCATGATTTTCTCCACATGGAATACACACAGAGCCCGGAAAATATTTCTAGACTGCAAGGGTTAAGCACCTAGCAACATAATCAGAAGATAAAGACAAAGTGATCCATTCTGCCCCAAGAGACATGGCTTGTATTTTCTAGTATCATAGGCATTCATTGTAACTTATGCAATTGAAATCTTTTAAATTTTTGGTTGGATTAATTCTCCCTGTTCATAAAGAGCAGTCTTTTGAGACTCAAGCAAACTCTGAAAGATAATTGAGACGGAGGCCACAATCAATTTTACCAAATGAACATAGGAACAAAGACATTGCCATACTGGATCAGATCCAAGGCCAGACCAATTTTGTATCTCTGATGCTCACACCCTCTTCCTAACTCTCATGGGCTTGCATCACAAGCTGCCTGAAGAACTTGGAGTACATAGTGTGTCAAGCCATTCCTTATGTTTCACTGTTAAAAATTGATTGGACTGTTTATGTGAAAGCATTTTCTTCTCAGCAGACTAGACTTTCAAATCTAGATATGTGTTGGGCGGGGTGGAAGGCAAAAAAGAGACAGCACAGAGCAAAGAAAAAAGGCCTGGGTGGGGAGGAGCAGCACAGAGGACCAGGGAAGAAGCTGCGTGCGGAATAACTTTCTTTGATTCACTTGAGTACTTGCTACAGTTCCCGCCACCAGCATTTCAGATGCTCCAGTTTGGGACTATTGCAGCTGGGGAGAGAGGGAGAAAATCATTTGCTAAATGGAAGAAGACAATGGTGTCTCTGTGGGTGGGGAAGGAGGTCATGCCTTAACGATTCCTACCTAATGTTAAAGAGAAAACATGGACTATATCCATCAGCTGAGGATTTAGCCTGTACATTTTTGTTTCTCACTTTCTAATGTAATATAATTGGAGAACCTCAGCAATTAAGGCTTTCCTGACATTTCCTTCCCCACCCACAGAGACACCACTGGAAAAAGTATTTACTAAATGGGGGGAGTGAGGGGGGGTAACCGAATCAATTTTAAACAGTGAACCACTAGGGCCAGAGTATTTATAAGTTTGGTTTAGCCAAAAGAATGGCCAATTTATTTGTGCAGCTTCCATGACTTCAAGTACAAATAAAGTAAATACATGTGCAAATTAGTCATGTGCATGTTACTAGATTGCACATACAATCATGGTAATTGTGTGTGCAAATTAGGGCTCAGATCCACTAAAGCAGATGCTTAACTTTGAGCATCTTAATAGTTTCTTTTGAGATGCTTAAAGCTAAAGCATGTGCTTATGGTTTTACTGGATTTGGACACAGATGTATGATTGTCTTGAAATCAGGTGGTGGTGATTTAGATATGTTCAAATATCGCGTGATGGGTTAATATTGTAATTTTGTAATACTTTTTCAACATCTGCATCTTAAGAAAATTCAAGACAATCTTGAGAAATCCCACTCAAATGAATGACTACTGGGTGCATTCAGACTAGTCCTGACTGGATTTCTATAGCCAAAATGGAGACTTTTTGATGACATTTACTCTCTGAAACTTACCATCTATACTCTCAACTGATAGCTGCAGGCCGAGATTGTGTTGTGGATTTACCACCCAGTGATTACTGGTTGCTGTAATATCAAACACCAGCCAACCTTCCTCTGCAGCCCAGATTATTCGAGTGTCAAGCAGGAACAAATCTGAATCCCTGAAGAAAAAAAGAAAGTTACTTGGATTTTCAAACGGAAATAATTTACGGTAAATAGCCATTCAAGTTGTTGCTTTAAGCAACACAGCTGGTAGCCCTTATCACAATACACAAGTTATGTCACAGATAGACAACTATGCCAACCTAAAAGCCTTTTTTCCTGAACAGTGGGAGGATGGATTAAAGTAGACTTAATGTGGTTTGGAGCACACATATTGTTGTACTATTACAGCTAATCCTACTATCGCAATTTTTTAATGTTTTCCAGGCAACTATGTGAACAGTTATTGTGTTTGCATATGAAACTTGGTAACTGGGCATGCAAATACACCTAATTATCCTTTTCCATGCATAATAACCTGATTGTTGTGCATAATCATGGCAATGGTGCAAGCAAATTGGAGCATAGTTGTGTGCCTTTTGCAAACACTAACATATATAATGTCCTTTAAAAATCTGCTCTGTTGAGGCTACATACAACTGAATAAGGATCACAACACAGCAATACGTTGTGTGGTAATGTCCTTTCAATCTATTGTTTAAAAGCTAAATAAATAGACACACTCCGATTATTTTGGACCAGAAATTGAGAACAAGAAATCAAAACTAATCAGAACTGGAGAATACTTCAAGGACTGAGATGGGGCTGTGGTAATCATTCTGGGTCTTCAACAATTTACTGCTGAGATGAGCTGCAACTGAAAATCTGGTAAATTACAAGGATTACAAAAAGAATGGGGAGTACTTGTGGCACTGTAGAGACTAACAAATTTATTTGAACATAAGCTTTCATGGGTTAAAACCCACTTCATCGGATGCATGCAGTGGAAAATACAGTGGGAAGATAGAGAACATGGAAAAAATGAGTGTTGCCATACACACTATAACGAATAACTCTCATTATAGTGTGTATGGCAACCCCCATTTTTTCATGTTCTCTGTGTGTGTGTGTGTGTGTGTGTGTGTGTATAGATAGATAGATAGATCTTCCTACTGTATTTTCCACTGCATGCATCCGATGAAGTGAGCTGTAGCCCACGAAAGCTTATGCTCAGATAAATTCATTAGTCTCTAAGGTGCCACAAGTACTCCTCATTCTTTACGCTGATACAGACTAACACGGCTATCACTCTGAAACCTGTCACCATGCAAGGATTACAAAGGTTCTAAAAAGGAATGGATCTCTTTCATCAGAAGCCAAGGCAAAGAAGTAACTTGGATGATAATAATAAGAAGAAAATTGGGTAATGGTTTAGCTACCTCCAAAAGGAAAAAGTCTTTACAAGAAGGATGGAGACAGCAAGGTGGTGTCCGGACAAGCCCTATAGGAGATTCTTTCATATTTTGTAGTGTGCAGAGGTTGGAGAGTAACTGTAGCTTTTTGAGTAAAGAAAAACCTTGTAAAGGGATCAGGAAAGTTCTTTTATTGTGTTCCATAAGCCTGGGGATGGCCAGATTAATCTGTTTTATAGACTTGTCAGTACAAACTTTTTTAACGTCTTTAATTCACTCTGGGCCCCCTGTTTGCCTGGAACATCATGTGATACTAAAATCTAAAATGAGAGGATTTATATGGCCCCCAAAAGCCTCAAAAAAGTATATGAACTTTACCACTGTGTGGTAGGGAAATATTGTTATCCTTCATGTTTTACAAATGGGAAACTGAGGCAACAAAAAAAAATGCAATGACTTGCCCCAGATAAAAGTCTAGCAGAACAGGAAATTGAACCTCATTCACTTGGTTCCCGTTCCAGTGTCTTGATCACCTGGCAATCCTTCCAACCTAGATAGGTCAAGCTATACAGTAAGTAATGGCTTTAATCTAAGGGTATGTCTACACTACGAAATTAGGTTGAATTTATAGAAGTCGATTTTTTAGAAAGCGATTTTATACAGTCCCTTGTGTGTGTCCCCACACTAATGCACTAAGCGCATTAAGTTGGCGGAGTGCATCCACAGTACCGAGGCTAGCGTCGACTTTTGGAGCGTTGCACTGTGGGTAGCTATCCCACAGTCTCCGCTGTCCATTGGAATTCTGGGTTAAGCTCCCAATGCCTGATGGGGCAAAAACATTGTCACGGGTGGTTTTGGGTACATGTCATCAGTCGCGCCTCCCTCTGTGAAAGCAATTGTTTCGCGCCTTTTTTCCGTGCGGGCCCCATACTGCTTTCAGCAGATGGTGCAGTAGGACTGCTAACCGTCGTCATCATCCACCGCTTCCGCTGCTCTCTGCTCTCCTGATGCTATGAAGCCACCTCACAGGTCCTCTATATGATCGTCGTCATCCATCGCTTCCATTGGCACTTTGCTCTCCTGGTGGTCTCGCAGGGCCGCTTCCGCTGCAACTCTGCTCAGCTGCTCTTGTCTCGCCATACCACAGCAAGCATGCAGCCCGCTCAGCTGTTGTGTCCTGGCAGCAGATGGTGCAGTAGGTCTTCAAAACTGGTCATCCAACCACCGCTTCCCCTGCAACTCTGCTCTCCTGCAGACGCCATACCACGGCAAGCATGGAGCCCGCTCAGATCACCACGGCAGTTATGAGCATTGTAAACACCTCGCGCGTTATCATGCAGTATAGCGCAGAACCAGAACCTGCAAAAGTAGGCAAGGAGGTGATGGCAGCGCGGTGACGAGAGTGATGAGGACATAAACACAGACTTCTCTCAAAGCACGGGCCCCGGCAGTTTGGCCATTCTGGTGGCAGTGGGGCAGGCTCATGCCATGGAACGCCAATTCTGGGCCCATGAAACAAATTCAGACTGGTGGGACCGCACAGTGTTGCAGGTCTGGGACGATTCCCAGTGGCTGCGAAACTTTCGCATGCGTGAGGGCACTTTCATGGAACTTTGTGACTTGCTTTCCCCTGCCCTGAAGTGCAAGAATACCAAGATGAGAGCAGCCCTCACAGTTCACGAGTGGCGATAGCCCTCTGGAAGCTTGCAACACCAGACAGCTACTGGTCAGTCGAGAATCAATTTGGAGTGGGCATATCTACTGTGGGGGCTGCTGTGATCCAAGTAGCCAACACAATCACTGAGCTGCTGTTATCAAGGGTAGTGACTCTGGGAAATATGCAGGTCACAGTGGATGGCTTTGCTGCAATGGGATTCCCTAACTGTGGTGGGGCGATAGATGGAACGCATATCCCTATCTTGGGACTGGACCACCAAGGCAGCCAGTACATAAACCGAAAGGGATACTTTTCAATGGTGCTGCAAGCACTGGTGGATCACAAGGGATGTTTCACCAACATCAACGTGGGATGGCCGGGAAAGGTACATGACGCTCGCATCTTCAGGAACTCTGGTCTGTATGAACAGCTGCAGCAAGGCACTTACTTTCCAGACCAGAAAATAACTGTTGGGGATGTTGAAATGCCTATAGTTATCCTTGGGGACCCAGCCTACCCCTTAATGCGCTGGCTCATGAAGCCATACACAGGCACTCTGGACAGTAGTCAGGAGCTGTTCAACTATAGGCTGAGCAAGTGGAGAATGGTGGTAGAATGTGCATTTGGACGTTTAAAAGCACACTGGCGCAGTTTACTGACTCAGACCTCAGTGAAACCAATATTCCCATTGTTATTACTTCTTGCTGTGTGCTCCACAATATCTGTGAGAGTAAGGGGGAGATGTTTATGGCAGGGTGGGAAGTTGAGGCAAATTGCCTGGCCGCTGATTACGCGCAGCCAGACACCAGGACGGTTAGAAGAGCACAGCAGGGTGCGCTGAGCATCAGAGAAGCTTTGAAAACCAGTTTCATGGCTGACCAGGCTACAGTGTGACAGTTCTGTTTGTTTCTCCTTGATGAAAACCCACCACCTTGGTTCACTCCACTTCCCTGGAAGCCAACCGCCCTCCTCTCCCCCCTTCGATCACCAATTGCAGAGGCAATAAAGTCATTGTTGTTTCAAATTCATGCATTCTTTATTAATTCGTCACACAAATAGGGGGATAACTGCCAAGGTAGCCCGGGAGGGGTGGCGGAGGAGGGAAGCACTGGGTGGGGTGGGGGAGGAGGGGAGAACAAGGCCACACTGCACTTCAAAACTTATTGAATGCCAGCCTTCTGTTGCTTGGGCAGTCCTTTGGGGTGGAGTGGTTGGGTGCCTGGAGCACCCCCCCTCCATTCTTGGGCATCTGGGTGAGGAAGCTATGGAACTTGGGGAGGAGGGCGGTTGGTTACACAGGGGCTGCAGTGGCGGTCTGTGCCTTTCCTGTACCTCAGGAAAGACATACGCCGGAGCATATCAGTTTGATCCTCCAGTAGCCTCAGCATTGCATCCTGCCTCCTCTCATCATGCTGCCGCCACCTTTCCACTTGATCCTGCCACCTCTCCTGTTGCTCCCGCCACCTGTCCTCTCATGCGTCCCTCCTGTCCTCGCATTCATTTTGTGCTTTCCTGGACTCTGCCATTGTCTGCCTCCATGCATTCTGCTGGGCTCTTTCAGTTTGGGTGGACTGCATGAGCTCAGAGAATCTTTCATCACGAGTGTGTTTTTTTCACCTTCTTATCTGCACTAGCCTCTGGGACGGAGATGCTAGTGGCAGCGTTGAAACATTTGCTGCTGCAGGAGGAAAAAAAGGGAGAGTAAAATTGAAAAAGACCCACTGGCCATTTAAAAGGAGGGGCTGATGTTTTCAGGTTAACATGCAGCGCAAACCCAACTAAACCGCCCCCCCCCAAACACCCAATTCTCTGGGATGATTGCTTCACCCCTCCCCCCCAACACGTGGCTAACAGCGGGGATGATTTCTTTTCAGCCACAGGCAAACAGCCCAGCAGGAACGGACACCTCAGAATGTCCCCTTAATAAAATTCCCCTATTTCAACCAGATGACCATGAATGATATCACTCTCCTGGGGATAACATAGAGAGATAAAGAACGGATGTTACTTGAATGCCAGCAAACACCAGGACCACACACTGCCATGCTTTCTTATGCAATGATTCCAGACTACGTGCTACTGGCCTGCCGTGGTAAAGTGTCCTACAATG